ATATTTAAACAAAAATATCACTTTAAACATCAAATTTTTCAGAAGACCTGGACAAACAAATCAAATGATTGCACTTCTTAGGCCACTGCAAATTTTCAACAACACATTTTATGCAATTTACAGTAAATTAGCTCCTCAAGCATTGAGTGTACAGCTTTTATATTTTATTTATTTATTTATTTTTGGCTGGTGGTTTCTCTGTGCAGAGTCACTGCCAGCTCACGGAGAGGTACAGTCCTTAATAGACAATATGCTGTTACGAAAAGAGAATTTAAACCTCTCTGCTCTGGACCCTTAAAGACCAAATTAGGCAGACCTCSCTGAATTTGAATTGAAGATCGCTGCTCTGTATTTGACTAAAAATAAAACTGAATATCACTAAATCATTCTCCAGGTAAACCTTTTATTTACGGGTTTGTTGAGCTGCAACTACTGCAGCTAAATTATTTCAAGTAGATCCTCAAACTTTCTGTAAAACTGGCTGTTATGACACCTCGGTCTCTCTCTGTCTTGGGTTTTATTTTCACTGGTCTTRTTACTTGGATGAGCTACACTTTGGTCCGGTGTTCTTAAGCTTATAACGAACCTCCTTTTTCCTGTTGTGAAAACCAGTTAAATGCTGCGTGCATCCCTGAGAAGTGACCTACTTACATCATAAATATTTTYCTAATTTCCCTGGAGGATTTACTTAATTCCATGCTTTTGTTTTCACAGAATTTCCCATTTAGTGCAGTGAAAAAAAGAAAAACACCATGTTTCGGATTTTGCACATATGAGACAAAATGGGTCACTTAAGGCATTTATTGCACCTTATATTATTACCTGTCTGGAGCGAGCATTGACATCCCCAAGCTTCAGCAGCTGCTGAGCCACCTCCAGATCGTCAGGGCTCTCAGCAGCAGTCAGAGCAGCCAGCATCACTGGAGTATAGCCTGCTTTATTCACATTATCTGTTTCACATAGACCTAGAAGAACGTGCAGAGAAGGAATCAGTGACCTGCAGGTCCTTGTGTTTGTGTGAAGCTCTTCTGAAGTTGCTTTAGCTGCGTGGTGCTTCTCACCGGTGTCTAGCAGCAGTTTGACCACAGGGAAGTTAGAATGTGACACGCTGTAGTGGAGCGCCATATTCCCGTTGCCGTCTGTCAGATTAACAACGTACGGTAGGAGAGTGGGCGTGGTCATTCCCACTTGTCGCAGGTATAATCTGACCGTGTCTGCCTCTGACTCTTTCTGACTGGAAACCTTGAACCACTCCTGGTAGAGCACCACCAATACCTGCCGCTGGGCAGAGCAGAAGCAGAGAAAAGAGGTCAACTATAGGGCATTATTTCTTAGTTTTTGCATGTTTTTTTTCACAAAGAACAGAATCRATGCTGTTTTAGAAGCACATATCTGAATAAATACAGCCAAAAGGTAGTTCTTACCATTTCTTTATCTGGAGAGGAGACCTCCTCCATGCGATCCTTTACGTAAATACACGCATCTATGAATCCTTTATCAACCTTTTCCCTAAAAACAAACAAAAGATGACTTACTGTAGTTTTCACTTTTACATGTGTAACTGTAACTATGAAATATGAAAGATRTTGCAAAGAATTGTTCGGAGTGAAAGCCCGAATAATACGCCGAAAAGCGATAAAGTTCCAAG